TTTGAGACCATGTGAACTATTCTATTGAGCCTTTAAGATGTATGTAGAGTTCAGTTGGTAAAATCCTGAGTTCACTCAAAATTCCTAACTCTGTGTGTGTGTGTTTAAGGTGTGTGTGTGTGTGCGTGTGTGTGTGTGTGTGTGCGTGTGTGTGTGTGTGTGTGTTTAAGGAGCTGCAAGAGATGAGGGAAGCATGAAGAGGGCATGGAGGGTGTTGTTATTCAAGTAAAGCTTATCCTTCTTGGCCACAGAAAAACCATGAATAGAAGTAATTAAAGCACAAGCAAATGTATCCCGCACCTACTTGCTCAAAGCACCACTATAGAAAGCTCTATTTCCATAGGTTTCTTATCTTGGCATGCTAAAAACTTCTTACTTCCCTTTCATATTTCTCACCTGCTTAGGCCTGGTTGCTAGAAAACCCTGGTCCCTACCAGTAACCAAAGCAGCCATCTAGGGGTCAAATATAGAGACAGGGAGAAAGCAAGCACTATAAATAAATACAGCATAATTAATTCTTCTCTCCTGTGACTATTAAGAAACAAATCTGATTCTTAGGTGCAATATAATCTATACATTCAAATGAGTACTATCCTTTCAAACTTTAGCCTGACAGCAAATGAAAATCGCCGTTATCTAGAGACTGTTTATCATGTGCCAGCCAGGGATTGTTCCCAGCACCAGATACATATCACCTCATTTACTCTCATAAAAATCCTACGAAATGGGCACAATTATTATTTTCCTCAGGTTGTAGATGAGGAAACTGAGCCATAGGAAGTTCAATCATTTAAAACTCTCATCTGTAGATCTAGAATTTAAATCCCGACAGTCTGATTCCAGAGCTTGTGCTCTTAATAATGACCTACTAACCTGCCTGTAAATACTATGTTCTTTTTTCAATTATGCTCTTATTTTTGAAAACTCCTCTTCTGCAATTTCCTTCAGGGCCAAATTATCAGTCACAGAAGAATACTTGTCTCAATAATTTATAATCATTACATGTTTTATTTTTTAAAAATGATAACATCCTACTTGATCTCATTATTCATTGTTCTAGTAACTGCAGAAGATAAAATGATAAAATACATAAATGGAAAAAACAAAATAAAGCAAACCCTGCCATCAAGGTACTTCCTATCTCAAATTAAAAGCATTTACTTTAGGGTCATTGGGGTAAAAGTAAGAAAAGTTCAATGATATGGTATTACGTTAGAGCTCATTAAAAATGCACACTAATTTTTAATCACATTAAAATGCAGAATGACTTATCTTCATTTTAATTATTCAAAATATTTATTAACATTCTGGCAGTCAACTCCTCTAGGCCCTGGGGAAACAGTGGTGAACAAAGAAGACAAAAGTCCTACCTCATGGAGCTTGTGTTGTAGTGGCAAGACACATAATAAACCAATTCAAGTACAATATAAGGTCAGGTAGAGGCAAGGGCAATGAAAAAATGAAGCAGGATACAGGGATAGAATCTGAAGGGAGGTTGCTATTTTGGGCAGGTGATCAGGGAAATCCTCTGCACAAAAGTGACATTTAAGCAGAGACCAGAATAAAGCAAGGAAGTAAACTCCGCAGCTATCTGGAAGAACATTCCAGGGAGGAGTGTTTTGAAGATCTGAAGAGAAACAGCAAGGGGGAGAGTAATAGGGAATGACAAATTTGTTACAATAAAAAGAAACAATTTTTCTTTGCAGTTATATTATTTCATACATTCCATCTGAGAGCTAAAGGATAGGTAAGAATTAAGCAGACGACAAGGGGAAAAGGTACTCCAAGTAAAGGGAGGGCATGCGCAACAGGCCTGTGGCCAGAGGGAGCCCAGATGGAACAGCTAAGAATTGCTTGAGTAAAGCCTGATTTGAGGTAAAGCTGGAAAACTTGGCAGAGACCAGGGTACGCTTGTAGCCATACTGAGGACTTGGTCTTTGCATGAGCAACTGGATGTCACTGAAGTGTTATAAGCCACTTAAAATTTTCAGAATTTTGAGTGCATTATACTTTTCTTAAGAACTTAAGAGGTACAGTCAGTTGTTGGGCATGCTTCCTTTTGTCTCTACTTGTCCATGTTCACCTACAGGCTTATTCTGATCCATCTAATAAAAACTTTACCAGCTTCTCTCCTAATTATCTAGTGTCCGAATATGAATGGGATGATACCAGGCAATAGAGTCTCAAATAATTCCCATTCCAGGGATAGTTGAAGTTTTCCATTTTTATTACATCATACTTATTTATTAAACCCCATATATGTTCCATGAAAAACTGGCCTAAAATATTTCCCACAGTCTCAAACTGTATAATCTGCAATGCAGTTGAAAATGGTGTGCAGTGTCTATTGTTCTATGCAGTTGGAGTACAAAAGACAGAGAGATAAAAACAGAAACAAGTACTATATTTTGAGACGATTTCCTTGAGAAAGATAACAGAAACCTGCCTAATAATGAATCACATCAGATGAAGAAAAAAAGATTTTACAGACCTTCTGTTCTAGCACAATTGGTCCAGCAATGTACCCACAAACCATTTATCTAACAGCTGAACACAGAATAAAAAATGCTTTGAGGCTATTTCCTACAAGTTGACAAAGAAACTTTCTTCCATTAAATAAATTACTATCTGAGGAAGTAAAAGCAAAGGAAAGAGCAAAATGAGATGAGGACATCAAACTCTGGGGACCCTGGAGAGAAGGGGCAGAGGTGCCACAGGCATGTTGGGCCCACACTTACAGGCTCAGAGAAGCACCAAATGACTACAGAAACATTATAGAACTACAGAAAATTATAGAATCCCAGGACCCTGGCCAGGTCCCCTTCTACCCATATTTCCTGAGCAAGTCTATGGCATCATATCTCAAGCAATGCTCAGCCACTCTCTGCCCGATGACCTTCTCCCCAGCCCAAGCCCATGCAGGCCAAAAGCACCTGGGCCTCAGCCCCAGACCAGCCCTCTGTCAAATGCTGAGGGCTCCCACTTGTCACTAAAAAAAAAAAATACACACCCCCACCTCTTATCCAGTGTTTAGAACCCACTCTAAAACATCTTCCGCACTGTATCTCAGGTAAGATTCTATGAGCCTGATTATTAATGTGCATCATACCTGCTGCTTCTCAGTGTTTCCTAAAACCACCTCACAAATAAACATTCACTCAGGTTCTGCTTTTGGAGAATCCCAAACTAAGAAAGTAACATAATATAATTTAGGACTAAGTTTTCTAACTCCATACTCAGTTGAAGATATCAAAAATTAGGAAGAATGATGGCTTATAAGCTCAACTTCATAGTAAAGCCCATCACACAAAGGGCATTTCTAAAAACTAGGGGAGAGGGGAGATGAGAGAAGGGAAGAGAAAGAAAAAAATTTAAGCAATTTTTTAAAAAATATGGGTTTGATAGAAAGATGAATAGTAATAAGATATACTGTACATGTTATTAAAACAATCATGGTATGCCTACATGAAATAATGGTTTATCTATATTAGTAGGTTCAGCTTTACAAACTCTTCAGTTAATTCAAAAATTAAATGAAAATGTGAGTTTGTATTTGGATTAATAAAGCAAAAAAGTTGTCATGTTTTGGATTTTTTTCCTACATACTCCATAGATTCTGTCTCACACACACACACACACACACACACATACATGCACATATACACACACAAAGTTGACACTACCACATGAGCAATTCTAAACTCAATTCACAGTCTTAGGAATAAAAATCTGCTTTTACCATGTATGACCAACTAAAATTTAAGTTTGTATTTTATTTGTTCTATAATTTTAATTGACAATCAAATCTGCTCAGGAATATATGGTCATATAACACTTTTATGATCAAATTTTTATTATTTATTTAAAAAGTATAAAGTGAAACAAAAGAAAATTATTCTTCTAACAACAAGTAATGGATGGGTCAGCTTTATTGTTAAAAGTTTAAGCATACAGATACACTTGCAGTTTTCAAGTTACTTACTAGCCTGGCCACCAATCTCTTTGGATCTTCTCATGAAACTAATTTTAAGAATAAAGATAAGAAATTTCCAGCAAAATAAAAGTCAACCTCTAAAAACACTATTCTGAACACTCTTGTATGAAAGGACTTTGTAAAACAGGAGCTGACAACTTTCACCATCCCTCAAGAAGATTCATGTTTAATTCTATTCCTAGGACTCAATTTTACAACTATAGGCTAGATTTATAAAGAAATTGAAAGTGTCTTGATTGCTTGACCTGTTGAATCATATTTCAGAATATTTCCCTGAAATCTGTTTTCCTACTGACTACCATATCTGTTTGCTAATTTCAACAAATTCAGACAAATGATATGTGATTTGCAAAAGAAGATTCTCACTTCATAATAATTAATGGCTTGCAAAGTAACCCTCAAAGTATGCTAAAGAACTTACAAGTGTCTCAATTTATCAAAATATAAACACTCATTACCCAAGAAGCAACTCACTTTTTGCAAATATGTGTCTAAGTACACATGTCATTATTTATTCACTCATGCAATAAAATTAATTCAATGTCTATTATTTGCAAGATAGTAGGATAGGTAATAGGACACAAAAATCCTTTCCCTGGAAAGTTTATAGGTAGAAAAGAGGAAAAGCATCATATATATAAGTAGGCACAATGAAATATTCCAAGTATCATGTTGGGAAGCACATTTATTAACTATTCATTCTCAGATTCATTCAATGACTATTGCACATCTACTATATACTAAGGGTCAATTCAATTCTTAATTTAGAAAAGTAGTTCCCATGATGGGCAGAGCTACCTTAGATGAAATATTGTTTTGTGGTGGTTGTTTTAAACACACATAATGATCACAATTCTATTCATGTGTATTATCCAGGTAATTGGGAGAAAAAATTTATTAAATAAGTTTTCTTCCCTAAAATCCTTTTTCCTTTGCAAGCAGGGAATAAAAATGAAAAACAATACCAGTTAAATATGTTTGAGAGCCATAAAATAATTGTCCTTACCAAGAATACAGGATTGTTCCAACAACAGACGTGAGTTTACTGTTTTCTTGTTTTTGCTTTGCCAGGCCAAAGTCAGCTAAAATTCACAAAACAAAGCAATATGTTATTATGTTTTCCCAGTATTAGCATTGTTTCTTAGCGTTTCATTTTCTACATGATAACTATTACACTTCACAACAGTAGTCTTTTCTTTTCTTACCCTCTGTCAAGGTGCCCCATGTGCCAATCTTGCACCTCACTCCCAGTCTTAACTAATGGCATATGTACATATTTTGACATAGTGACATTTATCATTTAAAAAAAAAAACAAAAACCTAAAATAAATCTTGCTTACTGAAACACAGGACAAAGTACTTATTGAACTGTGATTCTACTTTTTAGGCTATCCTTTATAACATTCAAATAAATAGAATGAATCTAACATTTTGGCATATGGCAATCATCACTTCATTGGGCCAAAAGAAAAGTAAGCCATGAAGAGTAAGGTAACCACCATGAAGGTCTGACCCTGAAATTAACTGGCATCTATTTGTACTAAGTCACAGTAAATACGCTGTTCAGAATCATCTCAAAATATTTATATATTAGCAAAGGACTATGATTTTTATCATAGAACACCAAATATCTATACTTAATATTAGCACTAGCTTGTATTTTTAAAAATACCTTCGCATACTCCTCTTTTTTTAAACCACTCAAACAACTTAGGTCAAAGTAGTGAACACAGATACTTTTCCTATCCTCTTCACACAGATTCATCAACATTTCAAGAGGATTAATTATCAGAATTTCACTAAAAAACAGGCTTAACCCAGGCAAGACTTCAAGCTGTTTTTCCTAATAAGCTTTGATGTTCACAGTAACATTTTGTAAAGTGCAGCAAATGCTTATGGAATTTCATTGCCATGAACTTTAATGGAGTATGTGATTATTCATACATACAAAAATGCTTTTTAGGTTGAAAATATTTCAAGGTAGTTTCACTTGAAAATAATAAAAATTCACAAATGTGTACTATTATTAATAATAGTACATATTTACTAAACAGCAATCTAAACTAGCACAAATTCAGCAACTTACATGAATTGCCTCATTTAATAATACTCATAGCAACTCTGAAAGATAGGTATTATTGTTAAATAGCTTAGTGCTTAAAAGTTAGCACTCTGGAATTGGACTGCCTCAATTCAAATCCTGGCTTCATTATATTATAGCCTGAGTAACCCTGGGCAGGTTAACTTCCCTTTGCAATCACTTTCTGATATGTAAAATAAGAATTATAATGGTCTAGTACCTATATAGTAGTAAATAGTATAGTATAATAGTAACAGTTAAATGATTTAATATATGGAAATGCCATGTATACATCATATATAAAAAATATATGAAGGAGAATATTGAGCAATTGATTTATATTATTATTTAATCTTCACAACCACCCATTTTATAGATGAGGAAACAAGCTCAGAGAGAATGAGTAACTTGCCAACTGTCTCACACAGAAAAATTAACAGTCAGATACTAATCTGGGGTTACTTGATTCTAAAGCCCAAAATCTTTGTCAAAAGGTGACAATACTGCCAACAAAGAAAAATCAGGCCTAGAACAATTCAATGACAAGTTCAACAAAAATTTACGAACTATATATACCATTCTGCACAAACTCTACCATAAAATAGAAGAGGAGGAAACACTTCCCAACTCATTTCATAAAGCCAATATTACTGACACCAAAGCTAGACAAACACATTACAAGAAAAGAAAACTACAGAGCAATATTCCCATGATCATAGACACAAAAATTATCAACAAAATATAAGTAAATCAAATCCAGTGACATATAAAAAGGATAATACACAATGAGCAAGTGGGGTTTATGCCAGAAACACAACTGATTCAACATTTAAAAATCCATCAATGTAGTTACCAAGATCAACCCATAAAAGAAAGAAAACTATTATATATGATCATCTCAAAGGAAATACAAAAAGCATTTGACAAAATTCAACATCTATTCCTTTCAATAAGCTAGGACTAGAAGGATAATTCCTTAACCTGATAAAGGGCATCTACCAAAAACCTACAGCTAACGTTCTACTTAATGCTGAAGACCTGAATGTTTTCCCCTAAAGTTCAAAAACAAGACAAGGATGTCTACCACTCTCACCATTCCTATTCAACATTGTACTGAAGGTTCAAGTAAGTGCAATATTTGCATAAACGTTGTGTGAGTGTAATTTTTAATTTCTATTTGATAAATGCCTTGGAATAGGATTACTGGATCATATTATCAAAAGTATGTATTTAATCTGACTTTTAAGAAATGCAAAGCCAAAATGCTTTCCAGTGTTTTCTCTCATGAGAAACATATGAGAGTTCCAGTTGCCTCTGCATCCCCACCAGCATTTGACATTGTCAGTTTTTGTTTAATTAACCATTCTAAAAGGTATGTTGTGATATCTTAGTATAGTTTTCATGTGCATTTTGCATTTTCCTAATTATTATTGATGCTGAACATTTTTCATGTAATTATTTGCCATCTAGGTATCTTTTTCAGTGAAGTGTCTGCTCAAATTTTTACTTATCTTTCATTAGGTTGTTTGTTTTCTTATTATTGAGTTTTGGATAAAAATTATTTGTCAGAAATATGAGTTGCAAGTATTTTCTCCTAGTCCACAGCTTTTCTTTTCATTCTCTTAATAATGTTTTTCATAGAACAGAAGTTTAAACTTTGATGAAGTCAAATTTATTAATGTTTTTGTTTTATATATTATAGTTTTGATGTTATATCTAAGAAATATTTGCCTAGCCAAAGATTACAAAGACTATATCCATTGTTTTCTTCTATTAATGTAAGGTTTTTTAAATTTCAAAATATTATGGAGGTACAAATGTTTTTGGTTACATGTATCAATTTTTTTATGCTGGGATCAGGGTTATAAGTGTGCCCATCATCTAGATAGTGCTCATTGTACCCATTAAGTAGGTTTTCACCCATCCCCCTCTCTTTCCTGGTTGATTTCCACTGAGTTTTACTTCCTTCTGTGCACATGTGTGCTCATTGGTTAGTTCCAATTTAATGGTGAATACATGTGGTACTTGTTTTTTGATTCTTTAGATACTTCACTTAGAATAATGGTTCCCAGTTTCATCCAAATTGTTGTAAAAGTCCTTAATTCATCCTTCTTCATGGTGGAGTATTCCACAGTATACATATACCATGTTTTCCTAATCCAATCATAAATTTATGGGCAATTAGATTGATTCCATGTCTACAATTTTAGTTTTACGTGTAGGTCTATGCTCTACATTGAGTTAATTGTTACATAAGGTACAAAAGACGGTTTAAGGTTCTTATTTTTGCATGTAGATTTTCAACTGTTTCAGCACTATTTGTTGAAAATAGCCTCTTCCTCTCTCTAAGCACTAGATTTATATATTCATCCGTATAGACAATATCTTCACTTAAATGTCTCCTAGGCATTTCAAAATTAACACACCCCAAAGGAATTTTTTTAAATTAAAAAAAAATAAAAATAACCATACCATTTGGAATAGCCTCCAAAGAATGAAAGGAAGGAAGAAAGGAATGCTGGTTGACTGACTTAGGGATTAATTTGACAAAAGATGTGCAACACCTATACACTGAAAACAATAAAACATTGATGGGAAAGAATGAAGAGGAATGAAATATATGCAGAAATATTTATGGTTTGAAAGACCCAATATTGTTATGAGGTAAATTCTCCCTGAAAAATAGAATAATTATATATAAAACCCAAAGGAATTCTTAATCCCAACCCAAACAACTCCTCCTTGGTTCCCTGCCTCAATAAATGTCATAATTATTGACTTAGGTACTTTCCTTAGTTCTTGTGCTAATTGTCAACTTTATTGCCTCTCAGCTTCAAATGCACCCTCATTGTCCTGCTTTGTGATATTGGAGCTGGACCATGATAATATTTCTCCTTTGCCACCTGGCTTGATGTAAAGCTTTGTCAGTAGAGGGTGCTGAGGGGGACCTGCAGGAGGAGAAGCTTCTCTTCCTGGTTCTGACATGCTTCCTCTCTTCCTTTGTTCCTGTAGCACTTGTGTGATGTACAGCAGCAGTCCCCAACCTTTTTGGCACCAGGGACCAGTTTCATGGAAGACAAATTTTCCATAGACTGGGGGCGGCGGAAATAGGGGGGAATGGTTCCAGGATGATTCAAACGTATTACATTTATTGTGCACTTTATTTCTATTATTATTACATTGTCACTTGCCACTCATTGACAGGGTTTTGATAGGAATCTGCAAGCAATTGGTTTATTATAGTCTCTGTGCAGTCAAACCTCTCTGCTAATCATAGTCTATACTTGCAGCCACTTCCCAGTGCTAGCATCACCACCTCAGCTCCACCTCAGATCATCAGGCATTAGATTCTCATAAGGAGCATGCAACATAAATCCCTCACATGCACAGTGACAGGAGGGTTCGTGCTCCTATGGGAATCTAATGCTGCCACTGTTCTGAGAGAGGTGGAGCCCAGGCAGTGATGTGAGCTATGGGGAGCGGCTATAAATACAGGTGAAGCTTCACTAGCTCGCCTGCCACTCACCCAGATCATAACAGGCCACGGACCTGTTACTGGCACTAGTCTGTGGCCTGAGGGTTGGGAACTGCAGGTGTATAGGATGCCTACACATCCTATATGGTGGATGTATAGGATGCCTATACATCCTATATGCCTATACATCCTATATACATCCTGTATGGTGGTGAGTGGTGCTCACCACCCCTGCAGGCACTCCATCCAGCTTCCCAGCAAATCTTGTAGGCACCCCAGCAGACAATAGACCAGAAAGTTCTGCTCGCACCTCAGCTTGCTTCACAACACCCCGTCAGGTAGATTCCCAGTAAGTTCCATGAGCATTCTAGCCAGCCAGCAGCTTCCCAGTATGTTCCACTGACACCCCAGGGGACGGCTACCTGAAGAGTTTTGTTGGCATCCGGGTGGGGAAACTTTGTACTTGACAGCTTTATCCTGCAGTGTTTCAATACCATTCTCTGCCATCAGTGGGACACGATCACACC